GGGGTTGCACCCGATATTCTCATGAGGTCCCTTCCAGCCCCTAATGTCTATGAAATCTATGAAATCTGCACAGCGCATAATCAGGCCGGACTCTGACTGGCGGGTCGCCAGGCACTATTGAAAGGTAGGTCAGCAATACCACCGATAAGCAAATCAGCCACAGCTGGAATGATGGGAGGTAAATGTGATACTAGATGTCAGTGCAATGGTCTTAAGTTGCAGTAAAGGGAAATTGATGTTGGATATTAGGAAAAACTTTCTTACCGGGTGGTGAAGCACTGGAACAGGTTACCCAGAGAGGTGGTGGACTGTCCGTCCTTGGAGGTTTTGAAGACCTACCACCGATAAGCAAATCAGCCACAGCTGGAATGATGGGAGGTAAATGTGATACTAGATGTCAGTGCAATGGTCTTAAGTTGCAGTAAAGGGAAATTGATGTTGGATATTAGGAAAAACTTTCTTACCGGGTGGTGAAGCACTGGAACAGGTTACCCAGAGAGGTGGTGGACTGTCCGTCCTTGGAGGTTTTGAAGACCCGGAAAGACAAAGCCTTGGCTGGGATGATGTAGGTGGAGCTGGTCCTACTTTGAGCAGGGAGTTGCACTAAATGTGACCTCCTGAGGTCCCTTCCAACCCACTGCAGTCATGGTGGTGCAGGGACTGTAAGAGAATTGTCTCACACCTTTCTTTCCCTTTGTTTTGTACATCAGAGCTCTTGTTGACCATTCCAGGCACTGTTGTTCGAAACTACATAGACAATGGAACAAATGGATCACAATTCCCAGGAGGATATCCCCACTCCAGGGATCTCCCCACCATCCTACCCCTAAGAGATGCATCCTGTTCATTTTGTAGACTCCTGAATTAAAGCAAACTCTGTATGGGACACCAGTGTTAAATCTAGATGCTGTGTAAGCGTCCTAGCCAGGGGGCCAGGAGAGTGCTCTGTACATAGGATGAATAGTGAATTGTGAATCTCTTGCTCTTACATCATTGTACACTGATCTCAGGGCAGCAGAAGAAGAGGGAAATCCGCTATTCAGCCCTGAATCGAACCGCAGTAACAAGGTGGTACAAAAAGGAAACTGGCCCGGTCATCTCCTATGCTAAGAAGATGCAGTAAGGGGATGGGTCTGTGTGCAATGAATATAAAGATGATCCTTTACAGAGGCTTCAGGGAAGATATTGGCCTTCCTAGAATGATAGAAAAAGCAACACCGCCCTGGGGAAGATCACAGCCTCTTCCTAAGCCGTGGCAGGCCCCTCAATGAGGCTGATGATTGCTGAGTGCAGCATAGCATGCAAACAGCCTCCCATCCCCGCAGTAAAGGACTCTGCTTTATACAGGACCCTTGCTAAGAATTTATGATCGTGTGGGTGCACTGAGGGAGGGACTTCAGGATGTCAGTCCTTTTCAGAGCGTGTTTTATGCCTCCTCTATTGTTTCAGAGCATGTTTTCTGCCTCCTCTTTTATGCCGTGTTTTATGCCTACTTCCCAATATCAAGACATCACAGAGATAGAAATCTGTTGAGAACATAGGGTGAGCAATTGCACAGCCTTTGAACACCACCTCCCCTGCAGAAGGGGTGCCAGACCAGGTGAGAACAAAGCTCCATCTACCACCATGGCCTGTCTCCAGCTGGATACTTTTGAAGAAAAACAGAAAAAAGAGGGGATGTGTAGTTTGACCCCACCCCAGTCACTACCTGTCAATGACACCCTAACTGGCATGTACTAATAGTCTTTGATGGACTTGGCCTCCAAAAATTTGCCTAATCCCTCTACAAACCCAGCTATACTGCTATCCCATTGCAAAGTCCCATAGAAATAAGTCTAATGGGTGTTGTGCTATGTCAAAAAAAAAACATATATGTCCTTTTGTCCACTTAAAAGAAAACAGAGGTTGTCACACTCTGCCAAGGGAAATCCAATGAATAGCACTGAGCTCTTGTAAGGAAGATATATTACCTGCAGGACAGGAGGTATTGAAGGATTTGTGACCATAAAAGACAGATGGAGAATCATAGTGTTGTAGGGTGGGAAGGGACCTCAGGAGTCACATCTAGTCCAACCCCCTGCTCCAAGCAGGACCAGCCCCAACTACATCATCCCAGCCAAGTTTTTGTCTAGCTGGGGCTTACAAACTCGAAGGAAGGAGATTGCACCATGTCTCTAGATGACCTGTTCCAGTGCTTCGCCACCCACCTAATAAGAAAGTTGTTTTTTTTCCTAATATCCAACCAAAACCTCCCTTGCTGCAACTTGAGACCATTACTTCTTATTCTGTTATCTGTCAAAGAGGGATACCAAGGGACAGTCATTGAAATATCACCCTTTATTTGAAATATATCCATGTCCTGATAGGACTGCATGTCATATCGGGCAGTCAGCACCCCTTTGGAGACAACATTTTCCAGACCCCCCTACGAATCTGTTTTGTTTTGATGCTGTAAATGATGGGGTTCAGCATGGGGGGCACCAGGAGGTAGATATTGGCCATAAGGACGTGGACCAGGGGGGAGGCGTGTTTGCCGAATCTGTACACCAGTGATAAGCCGATCATGGGGATGTAGTATATGAGGACAGCGCAGATGTGGGACACACAAGTGTTCAGGACCTTGAGACGCTCTTTCCTGGATGCAATTCTCAGCACGGTCTTAATGATCATGACATAGGAGAGGACAATAGACAACGAGTCTAGCCCGAACGTGGCCAGGAGGACAAAGAGCCCGTACACGCTGTTGACCGTGGTGTCCGCGCATGGCAGCTGAATTAGGTTGGGGTGCAAGCAAAAGGCGTGAGCTAACACATTGGACCTGCAGAAGGGCAACCTCCTCAGAAGCACGGGCAAGGGGACCAGGAGAGCAATGCTCCTCACCGTGAGCACAACCCCTATCAAGGTGACCCGTGGGTTGGTCAGGATGGAGGCGTACCGCAGGGGGTTGTAGATGGCCACAAAGCGGTCAAAAGCCATAACCAAAAGCACCCCGGAGTCCATGATAGAAAAGCAATGGATGAAGAACATCTGGGCGAGACAGGCATCAAACTTGATCTCCCTTGAATTGAACAGCATCACTCTCAGCACCGTCGGGAGCGTGGACAGACACACACCCATGTCAGTGATGGCCAGCATGCACAGGAAGAAGTACATGGGATCATGGAGGCTCTGCTCTGCCTTGATTACAAACAGGATCGTGCTGTTGCCGAGGATGGATATAAGGTACAGGGAGCAGAATGGGATGGAGATCCAGATATGCCCAGCTTCCACCCTGGGGATACCTGTCAGGACAAAGGTCGAAGGATGGAAGAAGCTGCTATTGGATGTTCTCATGATGTGATACCTTTGTCCTCCCAAAGAGCAAACGGCAAACCCCAAGTAGCTGCAAAATAATTTACAACCAAATGTCATCAGAGCGTGACCCAGCACCAAAGAGCAGGGTTTCTGTCCTAGGCCTTTCCATACAGTAGTTGGCAAACTTGCTGTGAACAAGCCAAGGGATAGTCCACCCCTGGGATAGCTTTGTACAGGTAAGCACAGGTCCTGGCTGAATGGAGATAATAGGGGAGCAACAGCTAAGCATGTGAATGGATGAATGCCAGAGCTGAGAGATACAAGGGAGTGCCTGGCTGAATGCAGTGCCTGAATGCAGTGCATGCAAGACAGAGACGACTCCAGAGCAGCAAAGCACAAGCTGGGCTCTTGGGAGTGACTAGTGACTGCACAATAGGACCTGGACTTGCTGCGACAAAAGTTGCCGCTTGCTGCAGCTTTAACATGGAAAGGCACTGCTTTTCCACTCATCTGAAGTGCCTCAGTGGGCCTGACCAAGCAGATTGGAAAAGCAGTGCCCATCAATAGAAAATACACAGCAAACAGCTGGAGCAGCTTAGGGGTCCAGCACAGCTGTTTGTGGCAACTGTATGTAACCCCTGGCTGGATTGCAAGCTCTGCAGAACCAGAACCTATAGGAACTAGCCAGCTTCTCTGGTAATTTTAGGTCTGATGTGAATAAAACACCTGTCATCACTGAATGGGGTCAATATTTCCCTTTTCCCTTCCCTAGAGCCATCAGGAGAGAGAGCGTCACTCAGGTGGGATGGGTGATTCATCTTATATCTCCATCACACGGACACCCAGGGGTCCGTCGCTGGACACTTTGCCCCTGCCAAGCACCTTCACACTGGTTTCACTCCAGGCTGCTTCTCCCCCATTGCATTTTGCTTTGAGTTAAGGCTCTAAATCAGCCCCAAATGAACACCAGGGAGTGCCACCAGCATCCTCCCTTGCAAAAGGCTCACAAAAATTCACTACCCTAAAGCACAACGTCTTTTCATGAACTTTGCCCTTATCAAACAAATGGGGGGGGGGGGAAAAAAAAAAAAACCCCAAA